AAGTGGCTTCTTTGCTGCCCTTCTTGACACCAGGCCATCCTCCAAAAGTCTTCACCTCACTGTGCGTGCAGATGCACTCACACCTGCCTGCTGCCATTCCTGAGCAAGCACTGCCCTGGTGGTGCCCCGATCCCGCAGCTGAATCAACTTTAGGAGACGGTCCTGTCGCTTGCTGGACTTTCTTGGGCGCCCTGACGCCTTTTTCACAACAATTGAACCTCTCTCCTTGAAGTTCTTGATGATCCGATAAATGGTTGATTTAGGTGCAATCTTACTAGCAGCAATATCCTTGCCTGTGAAGCCCTTTTTGTGTAAAGCAATGATGACGGCACGTGTTTCCTTGCAGGTAACCATGGTTAACAGAGGAAGAACAATGATTTTGAAGCACCACCCTCCTTTTAAGCTTCCAGTCTGTTATTTCAACTCAATCAGCATGACAGAGTGATCTCCAGCCTTGTCCTCGTCAACACTCTCACCTGTGTTAACGAGAGAATCACTGACATGATGGCAGCTGGTCCTTTTGTGGCAGGGCTGAAATGCAGTGGAAATGTTTTTGGGGGATTAAGTTCATTTTCATGGAAAAGAGGGACTTTGCAATTCATTGCAATTCATCTGATCACTCTTCATGACATTCTGGAGTATATGCAAATTGCCATCATCAAAACTGAGGCAGCAGATTTTGTGAAAATGTGTATTTGTGTCATCCTCAAAACTTTTGACCACGACTGTACATTTTATGGACACAGTCAATTTTACAATAATTCTATTTTGTTTGTTTTTACTACTGAACTTCCTCTACCCTCAACCTCTCCGATCATTTTCATGATGTCCATCCGGTTTGCTTCTATATGCCATATCTTTCTAACTGTGCTCTTTCACAAAAGCTCTCAAACTATAACCTATATACTTATTATGGACACAGTATGCTTACACTATTAGTTATCTTGTTGTTATTAGTTGTTGTTAGTTGTTATTAGTCCCATCCTTCAGCTCCATTCAACACCTCCCATCTATCTCTTAACACCATCCATACTGGATTTCTATTTGCCATATATTTTTCAACTGTACTGTGATGTTTTACAAAAGTTCTGAACCTTTCTATTCTCATTGTTTCTACAGATTGTAAATTGAAAATAAACATTTTTGCTAAAATTATTAGTATATTATTGATCGATTGACTATGACTTTTCAGATCACCCAGTAATGCTATCTGCAGGGTTAGCTCCAGGTAAATATTGCAATCCTTTAGCCATTCCTGTCCAAAAACAAGCTACAAATGGACAGTATCAAAACAAATTATCTAATGATTCTGTCTCTTCACAGCAAAATCTGCAGAGCTGATTTTATCTGATTGTATCCCCCATATAAATAACATTCTATTGGTAGCAAGAATTTTATATAATAATTTAAATTGAAAAATTATACGTTTTGAATCCGGCGTCGTTTTGCGTATCAGTTCATAAACACAATGCCATGGAATCGGTACATCACAAATCTCTTCCCAACTATTCACTGAATGGCACACATACACAATCCATGTCTCAATTGTCTCAAGGCTTTAAAATCCTTCTTTAACCTGTTTCCTCCCCTTCATCTACATTGATTGAAGTGGATTTAATAAGTGACATCAGTGAGGGATCATAGCTTTCACCTGGATTCACCTGGTCAGTCTGTGTCATTTAAAGAGCAGATGTTCCTAATGTTTTGTAAAATCATTCTGAGCTGGAGGTAGAGTTTGAGTAACCATTCTTAAGTAAGGTAATCACCCAAGCATTGCCATGTGAAATGCCTATAGCCCTAGATGGTTTTCCAGAGGACTTCTTAAAAAAGTTATCAGATAAGCAAACCCACTACTACTTGATATTTTAACATTTGAACTCCTTTAAAACCACACTAGCTCTAAAATGTTAAAAAATGAAGATCCTTCTCGGTGTGGCTCGTATGGCCCTACATCTCTACTGAACGTACAGTAGACTTGAAGCTGCTCACTAAAGTGTATAACTATAATCTGTCAACGCCATAGATCAGACAGGATTGATGAAGAACATGCATTCTTTATTTTATGGAAGGCAACTTTTCAATAAATTGAATTGCACAAACCAAACGTGATAAAGAGTGGAACTGAGAGTGAGTTAGAATAATCTCTTTCACAATCCGGTATATTTTATCATCTATCGTGTTGCCTTGTGAACAGAAGAAGAACTTGTTTAGTTTCTGTTCCTAATATTTTTCCCCTACCACAGATATTTGGTCATATTTCATTCGCAAACCCACAAACAAAACAGACTCCGAAAAGGAACTTCCTATATTTTTCCTTTCCCATTTTTCTTCTCTTATCGTCATTCTCATCAGCATTAATGCTTTATGTCTTATTACACAAGAGGGAGTCACATATCCCCTCTCATATTTGCATGGGTCTTAGAGCAACTGGTCTAACATCCATTTTGTACTCTGGCCAAACATGAAGTCCTCTCTGGTGTTAATGTTGATGATCACTGGACTACTCTCCATCCTCCACTGTCCTGCTGGACCACTGTCCTGCTCAGCTGATAACACATTTTGTCTACATGACATGAAGTAGCAATAGAGCAACAGCAGAATCTTTGACAATTAAGGGTAAAAAATGTCCTGCAGGTGTGTAGTATAATATTGTTTCCTTTCTCTGCACATTTCTCCCACTGTTCTTCGCATGCCTGGTCGTCGCTGAATGATTGTGTGTGTGACCTGAGCGCCCCTTCCCTCATGAGAGCATGTTCCAGACAACTGTGTGATCAAGCTCTCTGTAGCCGAAGTGAGTAAGACCTTTAAACAGGTTAACATTCACAAGGTCGCAGGGCCAGACGGATTACCAGGACGCGTACTCAGAGAATGCTCTGACCAGCTGGCAAGTGTCTTCACTGACATTGTCAACCTCTCCCTGACCCAATCTGTAATACCTACAAAGTAACCTGTCTAAATGACTATCACCCCGTAGCACTCACATCTGTAGCCATGAAATGCTTTGAAAGGCTGGTCATGGCTCACATCAACACCTTTATCCCAGACACCCTGGACCCACTCCAATTTGCATACTGCCCCAACAGATCCACAGATTATCTAATCTCTATTGCCTTTTCCCACCTGGACAAGAGGAACACCTATGTGAGAATGCTGTTCATTGACTACAGCTCAGCGTTCAACACCATAGTCCCCTCCAAACTCATCACTAAGCTAAGGACCCTGGGATTAAACACCTCTTTCTGCAACTGGATCCTGGACTTCCTGACGGGCCGTCCCCAGGTGGTGAGGGTAGATAACAACACATCCGCCACGCTGACCCTCAACACAGGGGCCCCTCAGGGGTGTGTGCTTAGTCCCCTCCTGTACTCCCTGTTCACCCACGACTGTGTGGCCGCGCACGACTCCAACGCCATCATTAAGTATGCAGATGACACGACGGTGGTAGGCCTGATCACCAACGACGATGAGACAGCCTATAGGGAGGAGGTCAGAGACTGGCAGTGTGGTGCCGGAACAACAACCTCTTCCTCAATGTCAGCAAGACAAAGGAGCTGATCGTGGACTATAGGAAACGGAGGGCCGAGCAGGCCCCAATTCACATCGACAGAGAAAGGGTCTGTAGTAGAGATGGTAGAGAGTTTCAAGTTCCTTGGTGTCCACATCACTAAGGATCTATCATGGTCCACACACACCAACAGAGTCGTGAAGAGGGCACGACAACACCTCTTCCCCCTCAGGAGGCTGAAAGATTTTGCATGGGCAAAATCAGATCCTCAAAAAGTTCTACAGCTGCACCATTGAGCACATCTTGACTGGCTGCATCACCACTTGGTATGGCAACTGCTTGGCATCCGACCGCAAGGCACTACAGAGGGTAGTTAGTACAGCCCAGTATATTACTGGGGCCAAGCTCCCTGTCATCCAGGACCTCTATACCAGGCGGTGTCAGAGGAAGGCCCAAGAAACGACTCCAGCCACCCAAGTCATAGACTGTTCTCTCTGCTACCGCACGGCAAGCGGTACTGATGCAACAAGCCATATAGTTAGTTAAATAGATAACCAAATAGTTACCCGGACTATTTGCATTGACACTTTTGGTACTAACTTTTTTGTTTCATCACATACGCTGCTACTGCTACTGTTTAATATCTGTCACTTTATTCCTAGTTATATGTACATATCTACCTCGATCACCTCGTACCCCTGCACATCGACTCGGTACTGGTACCCCGTATACACTATATATACAAAGTATGTGGACAGCCCTTCAAATATGTGGATTCGTGCACAAATCGAGGTCCATACAGAAATGGTTCGTCGAGATCGGTGTGGAAGAACTTAACTGGCCTGCACAAAGCCCTGATCTCAACCCCATCGAACACCTTTGGGATGAATTGGAACGCCGACTGCGAGCCAGGCCTAATCGCCCAACATCATTGCCCGACCTCACTAATGCTCTTGTGGCTGAATGGAAGCAAATCCAACATCTAGTGGAAAGACTTCCCAGAAGAGTAGAGACCGTTATAGCAGCAAAGGGGGGACCAACTCCATATTAATGCTCATGATTTTGGAATGAGATGTTCGACGAGCAGGTGTCCACATACTTTTGGTCATGAAGTGTATATAGCCAAGTTATCGTTACTCTATGTATTTATTATTACATTTATTATTACCTGTTTTACTATTCTATTATTTCTCTATTTTCTCTCTGTTAGTCTACACCTGTTGTTTACAAAGTGCCTCAAAGTGTACTAAATACATCACTTCACAGCAGGCAAGAGACAGGCATCTGAAATCCTATTTCTAAATATCCACTTTCTCTAAAGCAATTACATATAGTGAGAAACAGATCTCTGATATTTCACATCATTTCATTGTGTGTAAAAGTAAATCAAGTAATGACGGAAGTTACCTGTCTACTGTTCACCTGTAGCCTATGAAAGTGGAGGGTCTGTTGCTGGGTCTGAAGAGGCGTATTCTGTGTGCGCTGGAGTAGGAAGATGATAGGGATCTGTACGGGACTGTCTCTACAGGTCATAAAAAACGAACTAGCTGAGATCCAGCAGCTCATTGCCAAACTTAACAGTACCACTCACAGCTACCAATGCCTCAACACATACACTGCTAAACAGGTAAGGAACCCCACTGAAGAGCAAAGGGTTTACTACTGGCAATAAACAATTAAATGTGTATTTCTTTTTTATCTTATTTTCTGCAGTCATGGTCACAAACTATAGTAAAACATACTAACCTTAACAATGAGCAGCCACAGTACCTTAAATATGAACATGTATGACTACCATATATGAGTTTTAAAGGTGTTGTAGAGAAGCAATCATCAGTTTGACTATATGTATTGAGGAATGATCAGGCACTTTTCTTACCAGCTGCAGGAGCTCAAAGAGGAGATGGGTGAGCTGGATAAGTTTTACAACATGCAGGTGGTCAGGGGACAGGAGGCCAACAAACGTCTGAGGAGGGACCTGGCCCAGTGCCAGAAAGGCCACCATCCTACTGCCCCGCCCCCTGAACCTGTACATCTCCCCATGCGTTCTTCCACAGCACTTGTATTGACAACTATAACTTTTTCTTTCTTATCTGCATTTAAAAAGTTGTTTGCTGCTGTGATTTCACTGTCCTCTTGTTCATTATGTGTCTCATGTGGGAAACTGTCCCCTAGGACAGTTTCCTACATGAGTGTGACTGGTCCCAACACATATTCACCTACTATATACTATATTCAGCTATGGCTCTTGGGGTCACGACCCCAAACCTGGTTTTGGATGGTGCCTCAAACTGCAAGCAACGTGTTCTCCAACCTTGTGAGACTGTATAGCAGCCAGAGCTCTCTGGTTGTGGGGGTCAGTATTCCAGGCAGTGTGGTGATTCACTCCTCCAACACCGTACAGGGGCCTAACGTCGTCATGTAAGGGGACGCCCTCTACTACAACTGCTACAACAAAGACGCTGTCTGCCGCTTCAACATCACCGCCAAAACAGTCACCCCCATGGCCCTGCCCAAAGGTGATGGGTTCAACAGCAAGTTCAACTTCTGCCATCTGGATGCTTTCTACGGTTACACTGACATGGACCTAGCTACTGATGAGTGGTGTCTGGGTAATCTACACCACCTCTGATAACTTCGGTAACCTAGTCCTCTCTGACGTGATCCCTGACAGTCCTCCCACCCTGGGCCGGACCACTTAAGCCCACAAGCGTGCTGTGAGCAATAGCTTTATGGCGTGCGGCGTGCTCTACGCCACGTGCTACCTGAGTAAGGATACAAAGGAGATCTTCTACTCCTTTAATACTGTGACTGGGCGGGAGCGATATGACATTGGCATACAGATCAAGAAAATGTCCACCAACATCCAGTCCCTCAACTACTGTAAATCACTCTGGATAAGAGCGTCTGCTAAATGACTAAAACGTAAAACGTACAGTATATTTTGTTGTGTACATATCCAGCATCGGTGGAAGCAAGTGAAAAACATTTGTGTGAATCATTACTTTTTCAATAAAACCAGTGTTGCAAAGAAATGCACTTATTAAACATATGACTCCATGCTGACATAAAGTATTTATTTCTTTGTCTTTACATGGACAGAGACAGCTTACAGTATATATACTGTATATATATATTTAAACTTTACATTACACATTTTATGACTAAGCAGGTAAAAGTCAATCCTACTATCTCTGTGAACAGAAACAATGTTGGGGAGACTCCCATGAAAACATACAGTCAAAAAACAACTTATTGCTCAATATAAATCAATCAATAATACTGTAATAATGATAATAATAATAATAATAATAATAATAATAATAATAATAATAATACACAGAAAACGTAATTATATTGTTATATAAAAAGAGGAACTCTAGGAATAAGGAACCAAAATGCTGTTTGTCACAATACAATAGTGTTGGAGTGCTCTTTCAGTTAACCTGCTCTAAAAACAGTGAGTATCTACAGAGCAAGGAGGACCTGGAAGGACTTGGGTTCTCTTGGAAGAGTTAGGGTAGGATGTAGGGTAGGGGGGATAGCAGGTACAAGCACTTGTGGGGTAATGGTGGTGGGTGGGTGGAAGGGGGCACTTGGACAATACTGTACAGCACTTCAATATGACAAATTACATTCAGGGGCCACCAGGCAGTATGTATGAGACTGGGGGAGGGGTCAAAATCAGGCCTGCTCAGAGTTGACAGCGACAGTAGTCTTATGGAGAGAAAATGCATGACCACAGCCTTGAATATCACACATTAAGGTGCATGCAAACATATTGGAGGAGTATAAGGGAGTGTTTGTTGACCTGACCCAATATCCTCTCACAGAAGTCCCGCTCATACCGTCTTTTACATTTACTATTATCCCCCCTCCTATTATCACTGCTCCTATTATCACCCCCCCATTATCACCCCCCCCCCCCCCCCCCCATCAGGACATTTTGTAGATCCAGCTCTCTCACAATGAAAATTCCTCTTATTCATTCAGACAGAATCTCTCCCTTTCCCTCGCTCATTGTCAGAACTCATTCATTAATTCATGCCTCTGTCCTAGAATTTTTGCTATGTACGCCTTGGGGACCCTTGCACATTGGTGCACTGTTGCTAGGCAACAATATGAACTGAAAATTGACCTCAGCTGATAGCCCTTTAGTGGCGACTGGACGTATCTGTAAGGGGCGGGGCATCTTGTGGTTTTGGGGGAGGGGGTTGGGGTTGGGATCTCGCCCCTTACAGACAGTCCCAAGAAGCACCCCTGCAGTAGTAGTTATACCACTTCACCCTATCGGGGGATGCAGAGATTGACATTCAAACAGATAATAGGGAGAAGTTGTTACTGAGAATAAGGAATGCAAATCGAATGTAGAAAGACATTACTCTGCAAATTGCCAGGGACAACAGTTCCTCCTCATAGGACTAGCTTCACTCAATTGGTAGTCCATCACAGCAGCTAGCAGCACACACCTAGCCTCCCCATTAACAACGACCAGTATTTCAGCTCAATATCACGGGGGTGGGTGAAAAAGAGGTCTGTGGGATATTAGGCTGTTGGTTCTCTATGTGAGCTATGCATGGGTATAGATGTAAATACATTAACATTTGTTTTGTGGTGACACATTTACTTTGACACATTGACAGTGTGTACGTACATTTTTGTGTGTTTTGTGCTTCTGTGCCTATATCATTTGGCTCGGTCCCCTTACAGAGCCCAGCCGTCATAGGTTAGTGTGTGTATAGCTTTGGTATATCTTTTGTGTGGGGCTGAATGCTGTAGAGCTGACCTAAGAGAAGAACATCTCAGATCGAACAGGTTCTGCCTCGGCTCCTAGGACCACTAAGAACTGATCCTCGGCAGAACCACTTCCATTTTAGGGAGGTGGAGATGACCATGGACACACTACCTATATAGGGGTGGATACTCCTACCAATGCAGGTGACTGGAATCATGTGGGCTACATGTGTATAGAATCACACTACATTTATTTATGCTTCTGTATGACAATCAATGGGAAAACTTGCATGGGATGTGGAGTGGGAATACTGATCTAGTGGCTGTCACACAGACACATCCTCCACAGTGTGATGTAAAACTCTCTGAAATATAATAGCCTGTGTGCTGCTTTCTGTCAAATCTTGAACTTTCCAGACAAAGAGCAAGAATAGAGCAAACAACTACAAAATGTCCTGTATGTCTTTTCCCCAATGACCAACCATCCTCACTGACAACAACCCACTTAACTACCATCATTGATCACCTCACAGAAACTGTCGGCAGACAAGCTGATGAGTGTGGGAGGGGGCAGATGAGGCTAAGGGTCTGAGTGGAGGGGGGCGGGGCAGATGTAGGGCTGGGGGAGCAGGCAAAAGGGAAAGGAGACACTTAGCAAAACAAACGACAATTCAAGAAAAAACAAAACTGTTTCTTAAGTTTAAGGGGGAGAGTAATACATTGGTGTCATTTTACAGTGAGGGGAGGGGTTGGCAAAAGTTGTCAAATACTGAGGGACTTTGGGCAAGATAATACTAGGACAAAGACAAAGAGAGATAGATAGAGAGAACATCCTGCATTAACCATTTCAGTAGAAACTCATCTCTCTCTCCCTCTCTCCAACCCACGTCTTTCTGTCTGTCTGTCTTTGTGTGTGTGTGTTTGTTTGAGGGTTCAGCAGGACACCTCCATGGTGTGGCTGACCTGGCCCTCGTTGCTGTCAGTGTGTGTAAAACCACGGATACGAGAGCTCTCAATGGAGCTGCCACTGGTCAGGGAGGCCGTCCGGGAGCGGGCCAGACGGGTCATACTGGCAGAGGGCACTAAGAGAGAGACAGACAGAGAGAGAAACAGAGAGAGAGAGACAGACAGAGAGAGAAACAGAGAGAGACAGACAGAGAGAGAAACAGAGAGAGAGAGACAGAGAAAAAGAGAGAGAGAGAGAGAGAGAGAAAAAGAGAGAGAGGGAGACAGAGAGAAAGAGAGAGAGAGAAAGAAAGAAAGACAGAATGAAATAGGGGAAGACAAGATTCACAATTAAACAACAGCAAAGCTATGTCAATATGAGCTAACACTGGGAGATAAGGGACAACCTGCCAATGTGTAAACTGAAAAGTAACATTGTACGCAGCTGGTGAGGCAAGGCAGCTGTAACAAACATTCCTGCTAGCTATGGATGCTTGAGAGGTTCTGTAAAGCTATCAACATGTGTCTGTAACTCTGCATGCAGACACATTCACCCTGCTACAGTACTGCAGCACCATGCAGTGGGACTGTGAGGAAAGTCTAAATGCTGCAGAGGAGTTGATCGGCATCAGCTCGCCCTCCTGCAGCACTGTTCTGCTACTGAACTCATCTGTGTAATGAAGATTTAGCAGTTGTCTTAGAGTAGAGCTATGATAGTACAATCATTTTATTACATGGAAAACTTTAACCTTGTGTAACAAATGCCAAAAATCTCAAACTTGGGATGTAGTAGTTCTAACATTTTGGGAGGTCAGTCTGAAGGTAAAGGCAGATACAGTTATATGTGTATTAAAGTCGTAAACAGTTAAGTATTTGGTCAAATATTCATAGCACGCAATGACTACATCAAGCTTGTGACTCTACACATTTGTTGAATGCATTTGCTGTTTGTTTTGGTTGTGTTTCAGATTATTTTGTGCCCAATAGAAATGAATGGTAAATAATGTATTGTGTCATTTTATTATACATTTGAATAGAATATGTTTCTAAACACTTTACATGAATGTGGATGCTACCATGATTATGGATCATCCTGAATGAATCTTAAATAATGATGAGTGAGAAAGTTACAGACACACAAATATCAAATGGGGGGACTATGTACAAAAAGTGCTGTAATTTATAAACGGTTCACCTGATATGGATGGAAATACCTTCAAATTAAAGCTGACCGTCTGCACTTTAACCTCATAGTCATTGTTTGATTTCAAATACAAACTTTTGGAGTATAGAGCCAAACGAAGAAAAAATGCTACACTGTCCCAAAAATGACAGAGGGTACTGTATCTGCATAACAGGTATATTGGCTATGATACTTACAATCTGGCAAGACCAACCCTTTTTGTTTTCATGCAAACATTCTCCACAAAGTTGCTCCATTTGGACACTCCAATGTGCCAATGAGAGTTCAATGCTGGATCATAATTAACTGTATCCCATGCAAAGAGTAAGATAGGGAATGCAATGGCAGAGATGGGGAAAAAGTAACAATGGCATCTTTTTCCTTAGGCTGAGGAAAAATGCATAAAAAATAAACATTTTGAATAAAATCGTCAAGATTGCCAATGACCAGAAATCAAGCGCCAAAACAAAGAAAATGCAATAATAAGTCAAAAGGCAGATATATGATCAGAGCATCATCACTCCACATCTCATGTAGGGGAAGAAGAGAGGAGGAGGTCAGAGGTGAACAGCAAACAGGAAGTACCTGGCCCTCCACTCAACCTCCGATCCTTCACATACGCAACTGAGAGAAGGCAGGAAAACATAGAGGGCAAGATTAACACAACACAGGTCCCTGCATTAGACATCACATCGCACCATACCAAACAACATATTCACAACACAGTCCGAACTGAACTCCATGACACATTCAGAACAACACAACGTACAGACAGTGTTAAAGCAGAGGATTAAGACAAACAAGGGAGTAGACTGGACAACGTTGTATTTCTAAGGTATCGAGAGATAAACTCAGTCAAGGTAGTGATGCCTAGTTTCTGAGAGACCGCAAACACACGCACAGTCTCACATACTCACTAATATATGACAAATGACTGTAATTGGGTTCTAGATACTTACTGTAGCCCATCCCCTGGAGGAAGTACTTGAATGCTTCGGACAGTTTTCCAGGCTATAAAACAACAAGAAGAGTACGGTTAGACACTTGACCTCCTGAGACCCTGACCCCAGATGATGTCAATGACCTCTGAGGAGTGCTGTGGTGAGTGCTATAGAGCCAACCCTCTCATGGTGGCAGAATGGTTTATAAAAAGAGGAACCGGAGATTCAGAAGAGGGAGATTAGAGAGGCATTTTAAAGAGTAAGTTAGGGGTCATCTGAGAGTTGCATCAGAAGAGAAACTGGAGGAAGTAAGGGGGATATGGAGGTGGTGCAGAGGAAGGCATGGCTAAATAATAGTAGGAGTATTTGAATGTGTAATGAGAGGATGCAGAGGGCCATCTGAAGGCAGTGTTCTGACCTGTGTGAGCTGAGGAAGTCCACCAGAGTCAGCCATCTGAAGCACAACAGGGGAGAACAGGGACATTAGTAATTACAGAATACTCTATTTTTTACATCAAATGTTTAGTTCATTAGATAAAAAATCTAATAAAACCAACATTCCACAATTAATGCTTTGCACTCATACCTTTAAGAAGGTGGTGTTGGTTGGGTCAAGTTTGGAATTGCATTCAACCTTGAGAAACAACAAAATATTACATAGAGGACTAAGGTGCTGGATATTTAATATTCTCATATCAATAGGATTGCAGGGAAATCAATAGGATTGCAGGGATATAGATGTGAATGAAAGAGAGGCTTGGAGGGAGGTGGGGGAGAGGGTGGGGCTGACCCAGATACTGAAGTCTGCTGCAGTGATGAGTCATTCCAGCACACGGCAGAGGCTGCGCAGTCGCAGCCAGGGGTGTGTACAGATGTGTGCTGGCAGACACATTAAATAGCAATAAATATATGTCAAATATGTCATATCTCTGTTTTTCATCTCTGTTTTCATATTTCTCTCGCTCTCCGCCCCTCCCTCCCCCTCCCCCTCCTCCCTCTGTTTTCCCTCCCCCCCCCTCCCTCCCCTCCCTCTGTTTTCCCTCCCTCCCCCCTCCCTCCCTCACCCCCTCTCTTACCTCTGTTTTCCCTCCCTCCTCCCCTCCCTCACCCCCTCTCTTCCCTCTGTTTTCCCTCCCTCCCTCCCCCCTCCCTCCCTCCCTCCTCCCCTTCCTCACCCCCTCTCTTCCCTCTGTTTTCCCTCCCTCCCTTCTCTTTTCCCTCCCTCTCTCCCCACTCCCTCCCTCACCCCCTCTCGTCCCTATGTTTTCCCTCCCTCCCTCCCTCAATAACAAGGTTGTATAACCTCTCATTTTACTCCTCCCCCGTCCATCCCCTCCTCCTATCATCCCTACATTTACAGAGGAGGGATGTGATTAAGCCTTGACCTCCTGAATGTCTAGCAGATTAACAGTACATAAAGACACACAGATATAAATATCTGGCCCATAAGAGCCTGTTGAAACCCAGAGGATGGAGCAGAGAGAGAGAGAGACACATATAGGCCTTGGAGAGGCAGTGAGGCACACACAGTTGACTCAGCCTTCCCCGGAAAAGGGTGCCTAGAGTGAGACAGAGAGCTGAGCTTCTGCTGACTAACCTGCTTCTGTTTTGGAGGGAAGTAGGGAGGTGAGGCAGGGAGGGAGGGAGGTAGAGGAAGAAGAGATAGAAATGGAGAGAGGGTGTAGATGAGAGAAAAGGAGCGGAATAACAGAAGGAAAAGGACTCACCACTCCCTCCTCAGCTGGAGCGTTGTCACCAACAACAAGCATGACAGGGCACCTAGAAACACAGAGCATAGATCAGCAACAACACAAACACAAAGACACATAAACAAACATAGCTAATTTCAGTAACCTGTTATGAATGTTAAAGGTGCCTAAACACTACTATAAACCGGGTGGTTAGAGCCCTGAATGCTGATTGGTGGTATATCACAGGTATGACACAAAATTCATTTTTACTGTTCTAATTACGTTGGTAACCAGTTTATAATAGCTTAAAGGCACCTCAGGGGTTTGTGGTATATGGCCATTATACCATGGCTAAGGGTTGTATCCAGGCACTCCGCGTTGCGTTGTGCATAAGAACAGCCCTTACATGCTGAGCAGACCGGAAGCGTCGTGTCTACGTGGCCAGGAGCTAAAATAGAACTTGGTCCTCTCCCATCTCCACATTGGTTTTTAGGAGCATATACCCACGTCGGTGATTGAAAGATGAACTGAGGTCCACACTCCAGTCCAGTTGGTGGTGGTGGTAATGCATCTTAAAGTTGGTTGCCAACTGACATATAAAGTCCAAAGAAGAAGAAGAAGCCTGAAGGAAGCCTGAACTAATCTGTGGATTAATTGTTGGAGTAGAGGACCTTGTGCATTTCAGGTAAAATAACAACCCAATGTTTACATCCCAGGACAAATTAGCAAGTAACAGCAAGCTAGCTAGCTAAATTGCCATAAATGTTTAATGCTTTTCGACCTGTCCCCAAGTTAATATAGTTGGTTCAGAGTTCGTTTTGATATTTCAACCTGCGTGTCCTGATCGTGTCTGGTGTGGGAGGAAAAAATCAACATGCGCGCGATGGCACACGCTGACGCACACGCGCGTGCGGTCTGGTCAGCATGTTAGCCATGGTATATTGGTCATATACCACACCCCCTCGTGCCTTATTGCTTAATTAGACAATGACATGAAGGACCATGGAGAATGGTCTAGTACTGTAGAGGGAGACTCACTTCAGGGTCTTGGCATTGATGATGGTCCCAGAGCGGTTCATCTCCAGATCCCTACGGCTGAGAGGGAGAGGAGAACTGTGAGACACACTGCTTACATTCTCTCAAAGAATATAGAACTCTCTCCATCTGCCACACACACACACACACACACACACACACACACACACACACACACACACACACACACACACACACACACACACACACAGTCTGCAGTTTGTGTGTGTGTGTCTGTACACACTAGGTGTGTTTGTTACCTGTTGTACATGTTCCAGAAGAGCTGCAGGTTGACCTGGTTGACGGTGTTGTTGATCTGTTGACGGTAGCTCTGGACCAGCTCTGTGTTGTTCATCAGCTCCTCCTATACAACAACCCACAATAAAACACAGGTAGACTGAGAGACTGGTGTTTCTGAAAGGTTTATTAGCATAACAAAGCATGCAGTCTAGTGTTGTTGTTATTATGGTGTGTAGTCCTATGTATTGCCACAAACTATTGTAGGTAAGTGGATAATGGTTTGATTACCACACATATCTGGAGTGAGAACTCACCTGGCTAAAGAGGTGGGGCAGGACTGTGTCTGGAAGAGCACTGGTGAGCCCAGACAGCTGGAGAGGAAGGAGAAGGAGAGAGAGAGAGAGAGAGAGAGAGAGAGGTGAGTAAAGAGAGATAGATATTATTACCTTGCACCAATTGCAAGTACAGCAGCCATTTTGATAGTCGGGATAAAATAGCTGCTTTAAAAGGTAACTCTGTTTATGTGTTTGCCACATAGGTGCAGTGTCTGCTACCTTGCCGGTGGCCCAGTCGATCCAGCCCTTCCCGTTGGGGTCGATGTTGAGCAGCACCAGGCCCTCCACCAGATCAGGAAAGATCAGCTGAGGACAGAGCAAAGCAGAGCAGAGCAAGGGTGTGTTATGTTAGATAGATACCACAGGAGGCTGCTGGGAGGATGGCTCATAATAATGTCTGGAACGGAGCAAATGGAATGGCATCAAACACCTGGAAACCAAGTCTTGATAACATTCCACTAATTCCACTTGAGCCATTACCACGAGCCCGTCCTCCCCAATTAAGGTGCCACCAACCTCCTGTGGTAGATACACCTGGGATCATTATTAGGCCCCAAAATAGGAAATATGTGGAAATGCAAAAAAAATTTACCGGGTATGACTTACAGCAAATTTGGCCAGGATGTAGGCACCAGCCCCAACTCCAATACCCACAATGCTCTTGAATCTGGAAAATGAGAATGGTTTGAATTACTTTACAGGTTCATTCATTCATTCAAAGTTCAACAATATGGATAATGAATGTACTGTTTACTAAGAGAGAGAGGAAGGGGAGGCCCACTCACCCAAAGTGCTGCACTACGCTTGGCAGCATGCCTGCCAGCTGGTCCATGTTGGGGTACTGGTACCTGTGGAGAGGTGAGGTGGAGATCTTTAGTTAAACAGTCACATGGCAAAGAGACAGAACTGTAGAAATCCCTGTCTATATGCACATTCCAGTCAATACAAGACAACAACAGAGGTGTATGGATACGTACTGTATAAGTGCATATACTTGCGTATATAAGTGTGTGTGCGCATGCATGCGTGTGTGTGGCTAAGGTGCGTGCATGTGAATGTGTAGGTATAATACCCCTGTGGCATCTGAGAGGCTCCAATCTGCTGTCCAGGAGCATCCACATGGCACACCACAAAGTGCTTGGTGATCTCCTGCATGTCCTCGTTGTGGAAGAAGCTGTTGAAGCACAACTTGTCTGTGCAGGGCAGAGAGAGAGACAGAGAGAAGAAAACATTAAACATGCATTAAGCAGAGAGCACCTTGAAAGTGGCCATCTGTGCCACTGCTACCCTGTCAGCAGGGGAAATAGACATCACCGATATCAGAGAATAAGAAATGACCTATGGTTTCACTGGGAGTCAATTCCATTATCATCTGGGTGCTTGAGTGGTCGTACATTAAGTCAGAGTAAAGAAAAAACAATCTAGTTTGATATACTGCACTTAAACTGAGAGATTTAACTGAGGTTACAGGTTAACTGAAGTGCCACCCTATATACCGCACCTCTTAAAATCTACAGCCATGTTGACAACTCTGATAAACAACTCTGTTTCCCCCCTCCCACCGCCACTGTTGTCCTACTTCTCTTCGGTTTGTGGGGAGTCAGACGACAACACTGGTTTGCTCCATGGAGCTAATAAGGGGATAGAAAACACTGAGGTGTTTGTTCCATCTCATCAAACACCAACAAACATCATTAACCAGGCTAATTAACCTATAACCGTACGGAAAATGAAAAGCTGAAATGCTCCAGGTGTCCTTTTAGACAACGATGAAACTGATGTGTTCTGTGCTATGTGATTTACAGTATCTGGCATCACACAAGGGCAGAGAGGTGATTCTGATTCTCCCACACACAGTCAGCCAAATGGCAACAGAAGACCATTATTATTCATCCTCCGCAGGCGCATTGTCTCCATGTGGCAACTTGAGTCATATCCTTCCTTCGCCTCTCATCTCCTCCCCAGCACAAGGTCACAATACAGGAGCAGCACAACCACATATAGGCTAGTGTCTCCTCTATTTTGTCTCATTCCTCTCCCTCCCTCAATCTCTCGCTCTCTTTCTCTCTCCATTCTGTATCTGTGTTGACTGAGTCAGGCTGTGGTTACTGCCAGTGCATACTATTACCCCCAGCTGCGGCTGCAGAGGGTGGCATGCAGGCAGAGGGAGGCATGCAGGCAGAGGGAGGCATGCAGGCAGAGGGAGGCATGCAGGCAGAGGGAGGCATGCAGGCAGAGGGAGGCAGGCAGGCAGAGGGAGGCATGCAGGCAGAGGGAGGCATGCAGGCAGAGGGAGGCATGCAGGCAGAGGGAGGCATGCAGGCAGAGGGAGGCATGCAGGCAGAGGGAGGCATGCAGGCAGAGGGAGGCAGGCAGGCAGAGGGAGGCAGGCAGGCAGAGGGAGGCAGGCAGGCAGAGGGAGGCAGGCAGGCAGAGGGAGGCAGGCAGGCAGAGGGAGGCATGCAGGCAGAGGGAGGCATGCAGGCAGAGGGAGGCATGCAGGCAGAGGGAGGCATGCAGGCAGAGGGAGGCATGCAGGCAGAGGGAGGCATGCAGGCAGAGGGAGGCATGCAGGCAGAGGGAGGCAGGCAGGCAGAGGGAGGCATGCAGGCAGAGGGAGGCATGCAGGCAGAGGGAAGCATGCAGGCAGAGGGAGGCAGGCAGGCAGAGGGAGGCATGCAGGCAGAGGGAGGCATGCAGGCAGAGGGAGGCATGCAGGCAGAGGGAGGCATGCAGGCAGAGGGAGGCAGGCAGGCAGAGGGAGGCAGGCAGGCAGAGGGAGGCAGGCAGGCAGAGGGAGGCAGGCAGGCAGAGGGAGGCATGCAGGCAGAGGGAGGCATGCAGGCAGAGGGAGGCATGCAGGCAGAGGGAGGCATGCAGGCAGAGGGAGGCATGCAGGCAGAGGGAGGCATGCAGGCAGAGGGAGGCAGGCAGGCAGAGGCAGGCAGGCAGGCAGAGGGAGGCAGGCAGAGGGAGGCAGAGGGAGGCAGGCAGAGGGAGGCATGCAGGCAGAGGGAGGCATGCAGGCAGAGGGAGGCATGCAGGCAGAGGGAGGCATGCAGGCAGAGGGAGGCATGCAGGCAGAGGGAGGCAGGCAGGCAGAGGGAGGCAGGCAGGCAGAGGGAGGCAGGCAGGCAGAGGGAGGCATGCAGGCAGAGGGAGGCATTCAGGCAGAGGGAGGCAGGCATGCAGTGGATCAGTTGATCTAAAGCGCCGCAGTGCTGATCCCTCCACCAACACCACCCGGCTTGTATGATAGGGATGTTTTTCTGACCTACATTTCTCCCTCTGCCTTTTTTTTCTCTCGCCATCCATCATTATTTCATTACCCAGTCCTTTAATTATTGACCACTGACAGACAGTGCCATCTTGTGGAATGCAGGTTGTATCTGGAATTTCAATGGGCACACTGGATCTTTTGTTTCAACCCATTTCAAACAGCTACTGGTAATGTAGATTATTCAATATTGTGTTTTGTTTCAATGAGTCATTTCCTGCTACAAGTGTAACAAGACTCCCTGCATACTGCAGCAACATTGAAAAGCAGTCCCCATCCACCAATTAGAGGCACTAACGAGCAGGCTCAGTGGGGAGGTAGTAACGGACATGCTGGGTAAAGGTGAGAGAGTCACACTGTCTGTCTGCACTCTGCAGTGGGCTGGCTGGACGGCTGTCAGGGAATATTACTGGTACTCTGATATCGCTATCAGAATGGAGTCCAATTATCACCTCAGATAGGCACTGATGGTGGTGCAACAAAGACATGAACACAAACATGGTGCACACACACACACACACACACACACACACACACACACACACACACACACACACACACACGTAGAAGGACAATGTGTGTACTCACGGTTAAGCCCCACATCATGGTAGGTGAGGATAGCAGGCTTGTTTCCTTTGGGTGCCCCACGAATAACCACATGAAGCATCCCATAGGGAGTCTCAATGTCATGTTCCTGAAACAGACAAATACTCATATTTAAATGTGGGTACATTTACTTCCACAGGGACACATTCTGTACCGCTGCACATACAGACAATGCCATCTTGGAGTTCACTGATGAGCACAAACAGTTGACCCACTATCACTGAGATTTAATAGACCCCAACCTCAACCGTCTGCCTCTGATCAACATAAAACCTTTATGGATTAAATTGAGAATTCTGAGAGGCCTGACAACACTATGCATATACTGTAAAGCACAGGTGTCAAACTCATTCTACGGAGGACCGAGTGGCTGCAGGCTTTCGCTCCTCCCTTGTCCTTGATTGATGAATTAAGGTCACTATTTAGTAAAGAACTCCCTGCACCTTGTTGTCTAGGTCTTAATTTAAAGGAAAAGGCAAAAACCTGCAAACATTCTATGCAGTAGCATATTAATGATAAAATGATATTATTCATCCTCCGCAGTTGGTTCAGCGCTCCAGGATTATGTCCTGTCACAGCCAGACAGAGAAATGTCACTGATAGGCTGTATCCCAAATGGCACCCTATGAGCCCTGGTCAGAAGTAGTGCACTAACTAGGGAATAGGGTGCCATTTAGGATGTACTGTAGCCATAGTCTGTGACGCTAAGTGCTCCCTAACCACGCATCGGTCTGGCACCCGATACATGTATGTCTGACAGTATGCCGCATGCCCTCAGTGAACCAAGACATTGGCAGCTACTGCAGTACACTCACCTGTAAAATCTGTTGTCTTTTTTGTCTTTGTGTGACATGAAATGCTTGTGTGAACGATTGACAGATACAATGTAAAGTTAAAGGTAATTTGGGTTGTCTAAAGGTGTAGTTAGATAGGGGTTGATGGAATGGGTAAACTATTTAGGTATTTTCTGGATGACTGCACAATAGACTGCAGGTAAAAACAGCATCTGTATCACAAACTGCAAACTTCCTCCTTCACTCCCAAGGTCACACAGACACATCCTAGTGCGGAATAATTAGCATCTCCCCCAGACTTACGGGAATCTCATGTGTTGTGGAATGCATTGTGTGTCACAGCATTAGTGTGTCAGTGTGTCTCCACGCAGACTCAGACATTACATGACTGATCATTAGAGGAACACAATAACAGTACAACAACCATATCAGTATGCAACATTAATTCATATGTTCAATTATATGATAAAACCAAATCTGAGCACAACTCGAGTACTAATATTTCAACATACAGATTTCACTCATGATCTTATCTAATGCACTATTATTCCAGACTATTATAACAGCAAGGTGCATCAAGATAGCTAGTCATTTTGCTAAGGTATAAACATGGTATAAGAACATGCATGAATAAGGTAAGACATGGTTGTGTACGTGCATGAGAAATAAACGTATGCAAAATGTGCATGTCATACATATCCATGAACAAAGGAGTTTTTAAGACATAGTAGTGGATTTACTTCTACTTGATCCAAATATCCTCGCGCTATGAAACAGTCACTCAGTAGCCTGCAGACACACTTTACACTGCCACTCACCCCGTCCCAGCATTCAGGCATGGTGCCTGAGTAAGCGTGCTCGGTGGAGGAGGAGGAAGAGGAGGAAGAGTGGCAGGTGGAGACGAGACAGACAGAGCCAGTCCTCTCCGGTAGTGGGACTGCTGCTGCTGGTGGTCTCTGTCTCTAGCCTCGTCCTGCTCTGGGGCTAAGCGCTGCAGCCCTCTCCCTTCCTCCGACACTTTATAAACCCCACCGTGAGGGTGTGCCAAGCTCAAGCCAATTGGCTGGCTCTCTGCATCTGATTGGTTGGCTGCCCAGTCAGTCACAGCATCCTCTCTGCTGTGCTCTTGTTTTGCTCTCTCATCAGCACCACCACTGCTCTATATCAGGGGATCTCTCTCTCACAGTAGAGAAAAAAGTGCATCTCTGTCTCTACCTCCCCTGTCGTGCAGTGACCACATAGACCCTCCTCTTTGAGTAGCCATGTCTTTTTGCGTCTCCCTTTTTCTACAGCCAATTGGTGCTCTTTTCAGGGTTCAGCTCTTGGGTTTCCAGTGCTTTGAATTGTAAGGATGTTTTGGGGCTAAATTTCAAATGGTGCCAAAATGTTATTGTCCTTTTCTTTATATTTACAATTAAAGGGAATATTCAGAGTTCTGCTCTGCATGCATTAGTTGAGTTCTGCTGAATTCTGTATGTAGATTTTCTATTGTGTTTTTCTCCCAATGCTTATAATCGTAATTACAGGATTGACCCCAAATCTCGCACCCCTAACCCTTGTGCAAAAAACTATTTTATTTTATTGTTCAGTTTAATACTACATGTGTTGTTCGAGTAAATCGATTTGATGATCTGTATACTTTACCCCCCATGTCGCTTTGGAATTTTGTAATATAATCCATCAATGCATATGGAAAGCAACAAGCTTCTTAAAAATCAACAAAACATGCAAAGACTTGTCTGCTTTTCTGATGAACGTGCTCCCTCTCTCTCGCTCCCCCCCCCCACCCCCTACCCTCCCTCTCCTCGCTCCCCCCTCCTCCTCTCTCGCTTCTCGCCTCCCCCCCCCCCTCTCTCTCTCTCTCTCTCTCCCCTCTCGCCCATCCTTCCCTCTCTCTCTCTCATCCCTCCCCTCTCCTCCCTCCCTCCCTCTCTCTCTCGCTCCCTCCCTCCTCCCTCTCTCTCTCTCGCTCCTCTAGCCCTCTCCCCCTCACTCGCTCCCTCTCGCCCTTCCCTCCTCTCTCCTCTCACTCTCTCTCTCTCTCAGCTCCCCCTCCCTCTCGCTCCCCCCCCCCCCCACCCCCCCCCTCTCTCACTCCTCTCTGCCCTCCCCATCCCTCTCCTCATCTCTGTATCCCTCTCCTCCGACATCACCTCCCTCGCCCCCTCATCTCCCTTCCCGCTCCCCCGCTCTCCGCTACCCCTCCCTCCTCTCCATCTCTCTCTCTCTCTCTCTCCCCTCCCCTCCACACACTCCACCCTCCCCGCCCCTCCCTCGCTCCCCCCCTCCCACTCTCCCCCTTCCCTTCCTCCCTCTCTCTCGCTCCCCCCTCCCCCTCCTCCTCTCCGCGCTCCCGCCTCCCTCCCCCCTCCCTTCCTCCCTCTCTCTCCGCTTGCCCCCCCTCGCCTCCCTATCCTCCCTCTCTCTCGCTCCCCCCCCCCCCTACCCCCCCCCCCCCCCCCTCCCTCCCTCCCTCCCTCCCTCCCTCCCTCCCTCCCTCCCTCCCTCCCTAGGTGTGCAGCAGCAGTTAGCAGGCGCCCTCTATGCCTTTGTGTAATGGGACAGCTATTGTCAATCTCTTTTTTCTTTCTCTCTACAGTATCCCGCTTTCCTGTGTACAGAGAGCTTACCAAGCTGACTCAACTGTGTACTCTTCCCATCTCTTTCTCTTGCTTTTCTCTCTCTCTAGCTCGGTCACCCTTTTCTGTGGAAGAGGGAGATTAACTCACTCCCCGGCTGACTCAACATTTCCCGTCTACATTAAATACACAAGCTCGCTCTCGCACCCCTACTCATATGCACTGTCATCACACACACGCATGGACACACACACACATGCATGGACACACACAAGCGCACACATACACACTCTCAACACTCAAACTTGAAGAGGCCTGTTCATTTGATTTGTGCAAAGCAAATCACAGTTGTTAATTTCATAGCACCAATCGTAAGGGTACACAGTCCTCTCCCGTTTAACAAAACTTAATCAGACCCTGTGTTTGTTAGCCTTCCCATTATAAAGGACTGTCATGATCATGAGGTGGAGGTGGGAGAGGGGAATGAGAGAGAGAGAGAGGAGGGAGGAGAGGAGGTGAGAGAAGAGGTGAGACTGGAGAGGGTGAGAGAGGAGGGGGGGTGACACTGGAGGCGTCAGACAGAGGTGAGAAACGAGGTGTCTGGATTATTCATATAACTCTGATCTCATCGCCACGTGGATTCATGTTAAAATAGACTCAACATCACGGGTACAGAAAGCTGAGGACTTCAAAACGACTGTGGTATTACTAATCCATAACGGATAATAGGTTATTATGGTTTATGTGATAGTTTGAGTATTGAGATTGATACGCTATTATGTGAGTGATAATCATTGAACAAGAGTGTTCCAGTCTCTCTCACAGACAAACACACACGGCCTTTACACTTTTTCATTCAGACACAAATCTGTACCACACTGTGAGAGAGGTGCTGTGTGATAGTGAATGATCCCATCAACCATTTGGCCAAACAATCACGCCTCCTTCTCCTCCCAGTGAGTGGACAGTCCTAACGATTATCGGGGATAACGGGGATACAGTATATTGAGAATAGAAGAGAATATACTTTAAGTACCTTCCAGTCTCCAATTGGCATCAGGATCTCACAGTTCTCCTGCAGACAGATAACAAAAACACAATGTCAACTGACGCTCATTGTGACCGTCCCTCTGCTTAGACTTCTGAGATGCCACAGGGCTGAGCAGGCCGTTCGAGCTGAAGGGATGGATCCATAGAGAGCAACACAGATAGAGGCTGTGGGTCCAAACAAGCAGACAGCAGTTAGTGGACAGGGAAGAGAAGGCTCAGGAGAGAAAGAATACGTTTTTCCTGTCCTAAAAGAGCCAAACCAGAACCCAAGCATTCTCCTAAACTTCAGTGCAACATGAAGGACATGCTCTATAGAGGTTATAGTTGAATCGAAACCAAGCATTATTAGAGTGGGTTAAGAAAAAGTGGCCCCAAACTCTTTGTGATGCTAAAGGTGCAATCCTGAATAGTGTATTCATATACAGTGGTTTCAGGAAAGACAAAAGGATAGGATTATAGATAAACACACGGATTAGGTGAAAGAGGAAAGATGTCAAATGGTTGCATTATTATCAGCAGTCCATTGATAGAGGGTGATGCCATTCAAGACAGTGTTACAGTGATCAGACACACCTAGAGAGAATGGTTATTTCATGCAGTTGTTTTCAGTGGAGAGACACAGTAGGTTAGTCGTTACAGTAGGGCGGTCGGACCAGCAGGTGTCACTCTTGTCCTTTGGAGCCCACATGTGACTGCAGTAGCACAGCATGGTGGGGGAGGGAGCTGTGGCATTGTGCTGGAGGTGTTGGCTGGCTGCATGTTGTTCTCCAGGAAAGTTAAAAATCTCTCTTATCAGATTATCCTCAGCCTGTCTGTGTGTGAATGTCTGTAAGTATGAAACCTTGCTGATGCTACTACTACAGCCTGTGTGTCAAGGAATGTTAGAAAATATATATATTCCCTGTTGTTTGTGGCCCCCCATATTTCTCTGACTCAGGATGTGTTGCAGGTGAGGATAAGCTACTTAAAGGAGCATCCGATAACACAGCCGAAGGTAACGGAGAGTTGGTGCCCCTGCAGGGCGAGGGGAATAGTCCCCCTGCAGGTGAGTCCTGGGTTTGTAATTACCGGGATGCACCCACTGGTCCGATTACGGGTCTGGCGGAGCCAGTGCCGCGCGATCACATGCCACCGTTGTGGGGGGCGGCTTGAGGAAGAGGGGGCGGTGAGTGGCGCACGGCTTGCGCAGGGGAGTGCGTTCACACACCGCCCTTGGTCTCTCTGCATCATAAACACAAACACAGGTGTGTTACAGTGGCTGGTCAGTCCACCTCAGGGGTCCAGGCAGGGAGAGGCCTGGAGGGGAGGAAGACTAACAGACCTGGGAGGCCATGACCCACATAGAGAGTATGAAAAATGTATGCACTCACTAACTGTAAGTCGCTCTGCATAAGAGCGTCTGCTAAAATGACTAAAATGTCAAATATAGAGGAGGACAAGAGCGGATAGGCTAAGGTAACAGCTGTCTGGATAAGCTGCTGTCATGATGTCATCCTGTTAAATCCTCAACAACATAGACTTCTAAAGGATACAATGTAATCTGGGTCACACATCCACTCCCGATAGTGTTTTACTTTAATATGTAAAGTATGTCTCTTGGGACTAATTACTAGCTAGCAAGTAATAATCAGCAATAACTTTGAATTGATTATTTGGCCTCCAAGTTTTATCCTCCACTGCCTTGGCATTGTCTTAGTAATCAGTTTCTCCACTTTGTCAATCATTGTCAAGTGAAGTGTATAATTTACAGTGACATACAGTGCATCCGGAAGGTATTCAGACCCCTTTACTTTTTCCACATTTTGTTACGTTACAGCCTTATTCTAAAATTGATTAAATATTTTTTTGCCCTCATCAATCTACACACAATACCCCATAATAACAAAGCGAAAACAGGTTTTTATAAATTTTAGCAAACTTATTACAAATAGAAAACAGAAATGTCTTATTTACATAAGTATTCAGAACCTTTGCTATGAGACAAAAAAATTAGCTCAGGTGCATCCTGTTTCCATTGATCATCCTTGAGATGTTTCTACAACTTAAATTCAATTGATTTGACATGATTTGGAAAGGTACACACCTCCCTATATAACGTCCCACAGTTGACAGTGCATGTCAGAACAAAAACCAAGCCATGAGGTCGAAGGAATTGTCTGTAGAGCTCTGAGACAGGATTGTGTGGAGGCACTGGGGAAGGGTACCAAAACATGTCTGCAGCATTGAAGGTCCCCAAGAACACAGTGGCCTCCAACATTCTTAAATGGAAGAAGTTTGTAACTACCAAGACTCTTCCTAGAGCTGGCCGCCCGGCCAAACTGAGCAATCGGGGGGGAAGGGCCTTGGTCAGGGAGGTGACCAAGAACCCGATGGTCACTCTGACAGAGCTCCAGAGTTCCTCTGTGGAGATGGGAGAACCTTCCAGAAGGACAGCAATCTCTGCAACACTCCACCAATCAGGCCTTTATGGTAGAGTGGCCAGACAGAAGCCACTCCTCAGTAAAAGGCACATGACAGACGGCTTGGAGTTTGCCAAAAGGCAACTAAAGACTCAGACCATGAGAAACAAGATTCTCTGGTCTGATGAAACAAGATTGAACTCTTTGGCCTGAATGCCAAGCGTCACATCTGAAGGAAACCTGGCACCATCCCTACGGTGAAGCATGGTGGTGGCAGCATCATGCTGTGGGGATGTTTTTCAGCGGCAGGGACTGGGAGACTAGTCAGGATCGAGTGAAAGATGAACGGAGCAAAGTACAGAGAGATCCTTGATGAAAACCTGCTCCAGAGCACCAGGACCTCAGACTGGACCTCAGACTGTTGGAAGGTTCACCTTCCAACAGGACAACGACCCTAAGCACACAGCCAAGGCAACGCAGGAGTGGCTTCGGGACAAGTCTCTGAATGTCCTTGAGTGGCCCAGCCAGAGCCCGGACTTGAACCCCATCGAACATCTCTGGAGAGACCTGAAAATAGCTGTGGAGCAACGCTCCCCATCCAACCTGCCAGAACTTGAGAGGATCTGCAGAGAAGAATGGGAGAAACTCCCTAAATACAGGTGTGCCAAGCTTTTAGCGTCATACCCAAGAAGACTCAAGGCTGTAATCGCTGCCAAAGGTGCTTTAACAAAGTACTGGGTCTGAATACTTTTGTAATATTTCTGTTTTTGCTTTGTCATTATGGGGTATTGTGTTTAGATTGATGAGGGAAAAAAACGATTTAATCAATTTTAGAATAAGGCTGTAACGTAACAAAATGTGGAAAAAGTAAAGGGGTCTGAATACTTTCCGAATGCACTGTATCCTCTTAGACAGTTTGCATTTCAATCAATGTGATTTAGCTCTTCTTTTCTATACTGATGCCACCTCTCTTATCCTCCTCAGACAGTCACAGCAATCAAGAGTTACTTACAGCTTCTGCTAAGAGAAGAATACTGCTGCAATCAGTGGATTTGGTTAGACCTAGCAGCCTCTCAATTATATGGTCTTGTCCCCCCACCCCTTCTTTCACACTCCTAAATTGAAATGCAGTGTATGATTCATCCCTCCTACACATGTAAACACATTCTGTTTCCAAACCAAGACACACACAAATACACTATTATATCACACATTCTGCACAAAAACAAATAAAATATTATAATGCACACACACACACACACACACAGTTATGTAAAGTAAATGCTCACCATCTCAGTTTCTTGTCCTCCCTGCTCCGGCAGTAGGGGTTTCTGCTCAGTAAATTGCTGCTCCTTCATCCCAGCCATCCTGGAGAGCAACCTGCAATCACCATAGCAACGCACACCTGAGGTTACATAGCCCACTTTGTTACTTTAGTAAAACCTCTGAAATCCATCCACCAACTCAAACCACTGCAGCAGCAAAACCTTAAAAAAAATTATGTTTTTCTTCCCCCAGTAAATATCTACAGTATATCAAGCATTTGGCTGGGTGGCAAGGTCTTCGGGAGGTTTGGTTGCTGTTGCTGGGCAAGTCCATTTTCTACTTTCCCCTATATAATTGCTACACCAGCCCCCATAGTCCCTTTATGTTGGGCATGTAAAGAGGTCCAGGGATGCACAGTATCTGAATAGAGAATACATGTCCAGGGTTTTTTCTGGATCAAAAAGTGGCTTAGTTGGTGGGCATCGCAGGGGGCATGGTCGGCGTGTCTGAATTTCAGAGAACATTTTAGAGGCCACAATCTTGGCGGTGTAGAGAAATGTTTGCACTTTTTAGTCCATTTCCTGCAATTCTACAAATTTGTCCATGGAGCTGAGATACATTTTTGCAGTTTTAAAGCACATTTCCTGCAATTCTACAAATTTCGCCATGCAGCTGAGAGAAAATGTTGCAGTTTTAAAGCAAATTTCCTGCGATTCTACATATTCTGCCATGAAGCTGAGAGAAAATGTTGCTGTTTTAAAGCTAATTTCCTGCAATTCTATGCATTTTGCCATGGCTAATGCTGTGTTCTTTTGCTCAAACATGATACCAAAATGTGTACTGCTAAATGTATTGGTTTTGGAATTTTTCAATTCTCTCTGACTGTCTAGATTTTATTTAGGAGGTTGTTAGTTCCCAAAGAATATATTAGAAAAAAATATATAGGTCCATTATTTTTCTACATGCTTGGGGTTAGGCGACCCGAAAAAATGCTTAGGCAGACGCCCAAAGATTTCAATGGCTGTGTAAAATGTGTGTAAAGTTGTTAAACAGTAGTAGCCTGTTCTCTTTGGGTCTCCAGTGGTCTTCAGCTCATGGATTGGGTTATATACTGAATAAAGCAGGTCTGAGGGCCCAGCCAGACAGACAGTGAGCTTCCCAATTAGGATATCATGAAACTCCTGCAGTGTGGCCAGGTCAGTGGACACAGAGGGGCTATATCAATTTAGATTGATATGTCTATACAAGGGCACTGCTAAGCCCACAGAGAGCAGAGCTGACCCAGGCTGGTGCCACTCGACTAACACATTGGATCACTGAGGATATCAAACGGTCACACAGGCACACGCGTACGTGCATGCACACACACATGCCGGCATTGCCTATTTACAGTGCCTATAGAAACTCTACACCCCCCTTGGATTTCTTCACATTATATTGTGTTACAGAGTGGGATTAAAATAGATTTCATTGTAATTCATTGGTCAACGGTCTCACAAAATATTCTGTAATGTCAAAGTGGATGAATACTTTTTTTTAGATGAATGAAAAACAAAAACACTAAAATAGCCTGATTAGATATACTTATAATGCTTAAGTATTAGATAAGTATAGGGCGGCAGGTAGCCTAGTGGTTAGGAGTGTTGGTCGCTGGTTTGACTCCCCAAGCCGGCAAGTTGGGAAAATCTGCCGTTCTGCCCTTGAGCAAGGCAGTTAAACCACAACAACTGCTCCCCGGGCGCCGATGACGTCGATTAAGGCAGCCTCCCGCACCTGTCTAATGCAGAAGATACATTTCGATTGAATGCATTCAGTTGTGCAACTGACTAGGTTTTCCCTTTTCACCCCTAGTCAATACATGTTAGAAACACCTTTGGCAGAAATTACAGATGTGAGTCTTCTTGGGTAAGTCTCATAAGAGCTTTGCACACCTGTATGTGCAATATTCGACCATTATTCTAATCAAAAGTATTAACCTATTACCTGTTAAGGTGTTGGGGCTCATGGCTAGACAGCAATTTTCAAGTCTTGCCATAGATTTTCAAGGAGATGTAAGTCAAAATTGTAACTAGGCCACTCAGGAACATTCACTGACTTCTTGGTAAGCAACTCCGGTGTAGATTTGGCTTTGTGTTGTAGGTCATTGTCCTGCTGAAAGGTGAATTCCTCTCCCAGTGTCTGGTGTAAAGCAGACTGAAGCATGTTTTCCTCTAGGATTTTGCCTGTGCTTAGCTCCATCTCGTTTCTTTTCATCCTGAAAAACTCCCTAGTCTTTGCTGATGTCAAGCATACCCATACCATGATGCAGCCACCACCATGCTTGAAAATAAGGAGGCAGTTACTCAGTGATGTGTTGTGTTGGATTTCTTCCAAACATTTAGGCTTAAAAGTGTATTCCTTTACAGTGTTTTTTTGCAGTATTACTTTAGTTCCTTGTTGCATGTTTTGGAATATTCTGTATATTTGTATTCTTCTTTTCACTGTCATTTAGGTCATTATTGTGGAGTCACTACAATGTTGTTGATCCATCCTAAGTTTTTTTTCCATCACAGCCATTGATGGAAGCTGTTTTAAAATCACCAATGGTGACATCCCTAAGCAGTTTCCTTCCAGTCCTGCAGCTCAGTTCAGAAGGACGACTGTATCTTTAATTGTGTGGGTGTTTTAATATACCATCCACAGCATAATTATTCAACTTGACCATGCTTAAACATATATTCAATGTCTGATTTGTTATTGTTACCCATCTACCAATCACTGACATTCTTAATGAGGCTTTCGAAAAACTCCCTGGTCTTTGTAGTTGAATCTGTGCTTGAAATTCAATACTTGACTGAGGGACCTTATATGCATTGGGGACAGAGGAAGGGATAGCCACATTTTACTTCAGAACTAAGTTAGGCTTGCCTTAACAAAGGGGGTGAATACTTATGCAAAGACTATATTTTAGTTATTTAATTTGTATTCATTTGTAAAAAGAAGAAAAAAATATATTTTAACTTTCACATTATGGAGTATTTTGTGTTAAATCTATTTCAATCCCACTTTGAAATGCAACAAAATGTGAAAAAAGTTCAATGGGGTGTAGACTTTCTATAGGCATGCACACATAGGCACATTAACACGTTCACTGTCAAGAAAAACAAATGCAACAAAATAAAAGAAAGCCTATCGAATAAAATAAATGTAAAGATGAGCAAAACGTAATGGTAAAGAAGCTGCAATGGGAGGCTGTCAGCCCAATAAGCATGTATGGGGAAATATGGAAACCTATTAGATTTACAACCATTCCCTGCTGGATCAAGTACTTTACTGACAGACTTAGTTAGCATCAAAACATTGTTTGCTGTTTGAGTCTTCCTACCAAATTGAGTCATGCTCGGTGGTAAAGTGGCCTCATAATGATTTCCAACTTCACACAGTGACAGGTTGTTTAATGGCTGGGATGCAGTAAAAGCAACAGCTAGTCAACACACGCTGTCTCTGTCAGCGTAAGTTTCCAGACCCTTAGACAAAACCCAGATGCAGACACTCCAAAACAAAAGTCCCTCTAAGTAATTTGCAGACACTCGAAAACAAAACCCTCCTCTCCTATTTGCGACAACACTGTTGCTGTTCTCTGTCTGAAAGTGACCTTTGCATGAGTATTAAAATGGGCCCATGACCAACTTTAATTAGGAACTAACCAGGACAACCAGCCTCATTACTCTGCCTGCGCACTCACACTCACCACACACTCTCTCTCTCTAACATGGCTTGCTGTGAAATCAATTACCATTACACAGTCTATATTCGTCCCTGTTGAAGCCTTTTCAAACCCACTGATTCAGGTTTAGATGACTCAATACTTTTGTTCGCTAGCTGCTTTATTCAATATTCCCTAAACCACAAATACGGTTTTGTATTTTTACTGAGGAATTATTCATCATACTAATTAAATTAAATGAGGGGGACATTATCATTTACCCTAAAATGAGACTGATCGGGAACATCGACTTCACTTTTCGGTGGTGCTGGTGGTGTGTGTGTGTCCATTGTGCATCCATGGTCTATCTATGGAGTCAAGTAGTCAAGTGCTACTTCAACGTCTCCTTTCATCCAGTGTCTTTTCATCATCTGCTCTCTGCTAATAAAAAGAAGATGTGAGGTCTCTCTTACCAAGTTCAGGTTTGTTTTTCTCCATGAGAGTCAAGAGAAGACCTTCCTTTTAGTTGGTCAAGGAGGGTAAAATAAATCCGTCCTCCTTTTCATCCCTCTCTCTCTCTCTTCCTCTCCTCTGTTCTTTTACAGTTCTACACAGATTCTGTAGCCATGACAACCTCCAGCAGTGCTGTTGAATCACCTGGGTTCTAACAGGATCTGGCTTACCTTCTCTGTTCCTTTTAACATCTTCTCATTTCCACCAGCTGCTCCTCTCCCATCTATTTACCCACACTAACTATCTCTGTCTGGCTGGCCATGCTCCATTCTCACCCAATCCTCTATATCCAACATATGACTCTCCCTTCCTCTCATGTAGTTCATAGGGTTGTGGGCTGGAAGGGTTGACTTTGTACTGTGGAGAGAATAGTTCTCTCTCACAGTCCCCAATTCCAGTTGCAGGGGCATTATGTGTTACTCATACCGGTGAGAGTGAGCCTGAGGGTGAAGGAGGGAGCTAGACACAGCCAGTGTCTGAAAGAGGCTACAGAAGAGTGGGGACGACAAGGCTATGGGAAAAGCATTCTGCTGGACAGGAAATCCATGGGATGTGCATGTAGGGGAAGCATCTGACCAGATGCACAATCCAGAATCAATTCTCAGAAACTGGGCCAGGTTCGGCGCTTTGTTATGTGTACGTACAGTGTGTGTGTGTTTCATTGTGCAATGTATTAGTGTTTGGGTACAGTCAGGATATTAACTCTTACTGACAAGAGTTTTGAACAGTTTATTCTGCCCATAAATTCAATAAGACTCACCAGTGACCCCTGAAAAACAACATCCAGAAAGGCACTGTTACTTGATTCATGTTTTTTTAAGCCTTCTCTCTGTCAGTAACATAATTAACTCTGGTACAGCGTATTAATTAGCCATAGGGACGATAGCATTAGAGAGGATTAAAGGCCAACTCTTCCAAAACAGAATACGGCCTTTTGCTCTCCTCAGCAGACAGCACCTTCATGCATCTGGAACCTAACAACCCAATAAACAAAATCAATTATACACACTAACGATGATTAAGTGCAAACAAGAACACTGGTCATATGAGGCCTTGGGCTCACTGATAGATATCCTACATGAAAACATTATGTGCATCCCAAATGGTACCTTATTCCCTATGTATTGCAAAACTTATGATCAGAGCCCCGGTCAAAAGTAATGCACTATATAGATAATAGGGTGCCATTTTACCGCTCTCACAGTAATCCTGTTGTTATCACGGACTTCATCGCTCTTCTTTCAATAATTTGCTTTCAAACAAAACAACTCAAAACCCTTATTGGGGATCATCTACTCAGACCAGACCCAAATCGTTACTACCAATCCATCCTCTGTATCCGTCATCCTCTCTGCTCCTGCTTGGTTTCTCCGTGCTTCTCCAAGTGTTGTTTATGAGCTAAGTGGACATATTCCTACAGGACTCGCCTCCCACACAAGCCCAGAGAATGATGCTAACAAAGACTGACAAACTGACCAGAGATTCACTTCAACAGGTCAATCTTGAAGTGACATCATCTCACTGGCATGTAGACACACACACACACACACACGCACACACACACGCACACACACACACACACACACGCACACACACACACAGCAATCAAAACAATGTTAGCGATTCAACTTTTTTTCACTATTTGAAGTGACACATTCCATTTTTAATAGTGGTGCATGTCTGAAGGCCTTAGATGAAAAGCAAACCATGCACTGGGGGGAGCAAGATATCAAATGTGGATTAAAAATTGATAACCAGATATCAACTCGCAGCTGCTATGACTGGTGCCCCTGGAATTTAGTCTCTTATACTTACAACAGGCTTATGAACTGCCTTGCAGGCCATGTGGATGTCCCAAATGACACCACATTCCCTATATAGTGCACACTATATAGGGAATAGGGTGCCATTTGGGACACAGTCTATCCCTATCTCTGTGTCTGTGCTGCTCTCAGCACTGGCGTCAGAGACGGCCTGATAGGGCCGTGGACCCTGAGGAATCCACAGGGCTGTGGTTCCAGCCTGCCTAGCCCTGCCTCCTGTCACTATAGGTACCCAGTGCTTTGGGACAGAGCCAGTCGGCCAGAAGGACATGGCATGTGGCTCTCAATGGGACCTGTACACAACAGAGAGGGGAGAGGTGGGGGGGGGGGGGGGATCTTAAAACCTTCCTGACCGAACACCACTGTCTCATAAGACTACATTTTCGATTGCAGCGTTCATTCTTGTATATCAAAAGATGGATCTGTAAATTATTTTAATATGAAATGTAACACTGTAAAGGATCTGCCGACAGTGAGTGCCCTCGAAGCCCTTTTCTTAGACATCCAAACCTTCTCCTTCCACCTGACTCAGTTTTGTTAAAGCTTACAGATTGCTGGGCACTTAAGCTGGTCAGAAAATGCAGTTTTATTTCATGGTATGCTGCCTGACATGCCCCACATCGGCCATTTTAGACTTCAGCACAATTGGCCCAGCGTCGTCCGGGTTTGGCCGGTGTAGGCCGTCATTGTAAATAAGAATTTGTTCTTAACTGACTTGCCTAGTTTAATAAAAAAAAAAAAAAAAAAAAGATTTCAGCCATTAGTGACAACAGCCTTGTCCAGTGAAGCCACACTTAATATCCAATATGTCAACGGGCTACATGATCCGCTTCACTGAATCACCCAGTGTCTATCTACTCTAACCCAAACATCCACAACATCTAGGCCTATAGCACTATCTCTTTATTGCCGCCTATTGACAACTCAACCAAATGTAAATCAAAACTAGATGTTGAAATGACGTCTGTGCCCAGTGGGTGGTCAGGAAACAAACCCAACAGCCTAAACAAAAAAAATATGCAACAGGTTTCAAACACTTGAAAACTAGCTATACCTTACTTCAAAAGACTATCAAGCATATGCTAATACTGAGTTTGAGGCTATACCCACACACCCCAAAGCAAGGACATGACTGGCATGCAAGATGTGTGGAACATGCAGTTCTGTCCAGACTGAACACAGCACAACAACAGCCACGGCTGGTGTTCAAGGCTGATGGATGGTAATATAACACACACATAGAGAATGTGTGCTGTGATGCTTGGCTAAAGCTCTTCTGAGCATCATTAACAGGGGTGAAGGTGAGATACGAGTCATCAAATGATCACCCAAATTACATCAGTCCTGGTCCAGTGCTCTGCTGTGATTGGTCCATGGCTCATGAGTCTCTTTCAACTTAGCCAAAAAAGTGCTTGATGACTCACAAGTAATAGTCCAACACTGAGCCACAATTGGCCACAGACTCATGAGTTGTGGTCCAATGCTCTGCAGGGATTGGCCATTGGCTTGTAGTCCAGGACGCTAAGTTACGTTCCACTGGTCCACAAGCTAGGCCTTGGTGTGACACACTGCAGTCATCAGCCCATTACTTTAGGAAGGACGGACAGTGTGAATGGAAGAGCGATGGATGAGATGCCAAAAACTTAAGTTAAGGAAGCTATATACAGTATATGAGCTCCATTTCAGAAGGCACTACGTACATTGTCTGCAGCAGGCTCTGCGGCACCGTGCAGCTAGCCTTTGAAGGGAAGTTCCAAAACAATCCGGGCCCCATCTATCAGTACAAAATAAAATCATCCGTTGGAGATTGAAAGAGTAGGGAAAAAAGTGAACAGCAAAGTTTAAGCCATATCGTCATGACTCATAGGTAGATCTTTACAGTGGTAGGAACAGAGCAGTAATATCTGCCTCAGCCTAGCTGATAGAGGAACAAACCCACAGGGTATACTGCGCTTTGTAGTTCTATTAATATCCAAGAGCAGCAGAGAAACAGACTTGGTCCCATAGGATACAGTGGGCTTTGTTGAGCTTGCATATGCCAAAGGACAAAAAGCTAACCTGATAACAGCCCTTTTTACACTGTATAGGGTGATGATAAATGATAATAGACAGTGTGGACTAAATAACAGGGACATTGTGTCTACTGTCCAGCTTTTGATCCTAGAACAAATGTATGTATTAGGGTTCTGCACCAGGCTTATATAAGACAATGAATTGGGGCTGCACCAATATTATGTAATATTATCTTGTCGACAGAAACTGTACAAATGAACAGGACATATTTCTCACAGGGTGAAAGTCATACATATCAGCATTTACTTTCACCACAGCCCAGGAGCCTGTCATCATGTTGCTGACAGATGGTGAAGATAACTCACACCATGTCAGGCCTGATATTCAGCCTCAGATCTCTAAGGTTTTGCCTACAGGTCTCAGTGTGCAACCGCTATTCAATGAGGCAGTCGGCTGTGCACACACAGCACCTAAATGAACATCCACATACACAAGTAGCTCAAAATAAATGTAGGCCTAACAGATATCAAATTACAGTGCCTTCAGAAAGTATTCATACCCCTTGACTTGTTCCACATTTAGTTGTGTTACAGCCTGAATTCAAAATGGATTAAATTGATTTTTTCTCACCCATCTACACACAATACCACTTAATGACAAGTTGAAAACATGTTTAGAAATGTTTCCAAATTTACTGAAAATGAATACAGAAATAACTAATTTACATAAGCATTCACACCCGAGGCAATATTTTGTAGAAGCACATTTTGCAGCGATTACAGCTGTGAGTCTTTCTGGGTAAGTCTCTAAGAGCTTTCCACACCTGGATTGTGCAACATTTGCCAATTATTTTATTTTTTAATTCTTCAAGCTCTGTCAAATTGGTTTTTGATCAATGCTAGACAACCATTTTAGATCTTGCCATAGATTTTCAAGTAGATGTAAGTCAAAACTGTAACTCGGCGACAGGAACATTCACTGTCTTCTTGGTAAGCAACTCCAGTGTAGATTTGTTTTAGGTTATTGTCCTGTTGAAAGGTGGATTCATCTCCCAGTGTCTGCTGGAAAGCAGACTGAACCAGGTTTTCCTCTAGGATTAGCTCCATTCCGTTTATTTTTTATCCTGAAAAACTAACCAGTCTTTAATGATTACAAGCATACCCATAACATGATGCAGCCACCACTATGCTTGAAAATATGGAGAGTGGTACTCAGTAATGTGTTGTGTTGGATTTGCCCCAAACATAACACTTTGTATTCAGGAAAAATAAATGCTTTGCCACATTTTCTGTAGTATTACTTAGTGCCTTGTTGCAAACAGGATGCATGTTGTGGAATATTTTTATTCTGTACAGGCTCCCTTCTTATCACTCTGTCAATTAGGTTAGTATTGTGGAGTAACTGTGGATCCATCCTCACATCACAGCCATTAAACTCTGTAACTGTTTAAGTCATCATTGGCCTCATGGTGAAATCCATTACTGGTTTCCTTCCTCTCCGGCAACTGCGTTAGGAAGGACGCCTGTATCTTTGTAGGGACTGGGCGTATTGATACACCAACCAAAGTGTAATTAATAACTTCACCATGCTCAAACGGATACTCAATGTCTGTTTTTTTACCCATCTACCAATAGGTGCCCTTCTTTGCGAGGCATTGGAAAACCTCCCTGGTCTTTGTGGTTGAATCTTTTTGGAATTCTCTGCTCGACTGAGGGACCTTACAGATAATTGTATGTGTGGAGTACAGAGATGAGGTAGTCATTCCAAAATCATGTTAAACACTATTATTGCATAGGACTTAGTCCATACGATTTATTATGTGACTTGTTAAGCACATTTTTACTCCTGAACTTATTTAGGCTTGCCATAACAAAGGGGTTGAATACTTATTGGCTCAAGACATTTCAGCAAATCTTAAAACATAATTCCACTTTGACGTTATGGGGTATTGTGTATACGCCAGTGACAGAAACATCTACATTTAAACCATTTTAAATTCAGTTTGTAACAGAACAAAATGTGGAAAAAGTCAAGGGGCGTGTGAATACTTTCTGAAGGCACTGTAAATGTCCTCTGATGAACTCTTCATTGAGACTGTAAAACCTGGAACAAAGAGTCTATTTGGACCAGAACGGAAGCTTTCCTGTCTCTATCCATCTCTAACTCTACCACATGCAATGGCCTCAGATATGAAGTGCAGTGTATTTGTGATTAGTGTGGCTGCTGGTTGTTGGAGGGTAGGGAACATAAACCTTTTTCTACGGCTGATACACAACAATGCAAAGCAGTTCGCTATTCTCTTTAACTGGAAAGCAGAAGACCTGCACCTGTTAAGGAAGTTAGGCTGTATATTCTCTACATTACTTATTAATATGCAGGTTGCCCAGGGTTGTCTAAGGCAGCGCTGATCTATATGACGCACTCCTTTATCTAGGGTTAATAAATTCAACCTGACGACCTCGTACTCATGCCAATGCAGAGGCTGGCACTGGGGCACAGTCAGAGCCTCACTTATACAGCTAGGAGACAGTAGAGGATCTGGGGGTGCTAATGTCCCTATACAGTATGTGCTATCAATTCCCTTTTCCATGATCAATGTACTATACCCTTCTTATGCACTATCAAAGAGTTAAGTCAAGCTTTGCCTAAATGAGTTCTGTCATTCTATCTCATGTAGGTATCATCATCAGATCCAAACTGAACATAGACACAAGGACTTACCTGTTGTGGTGGTTTGAGCTTCAACAGCTGCTATTGTTGCGTCTGGATTTTGCAGTGCGTGTGTTTCTCTCTCTCTTTCCCTCAGTCTGCGTGTGTTACAGAGAGAGGCTGTCTACTCTATGGGGTCTCTGCTCTCCAGATCTCCATCCCTCCCACTTTCTCTCCCGCTTCCTCCCTCCCTCTCGCGCTCCCTTCCTTCTCGCATTGGCAATAAACAGAGAGCACGTGTCATCCCCAATGATGCAGCATGAGAGCGCCGCCACACTAAAATATCAGAGGCGAGGGAGGAGAGAGAAGGGGAGAGGGGATGAAATGAAAGAGGGAAGACAGAAAGTGATGGGAGGTAAATTAAATGGAGGATAGAGACAGAATGATATGGTCATAAAAGTGAGATTTAGAGTTTGATAAAGGAGAGATATGGATCGTTTTGGGGTAATAAGTATTGCTCTTAAAACAGAAGAGTGAAGCTTCCACTGCACCAATGAGTTCACAATCATGAGCTTCAGAAGTCTATTTTCTGCAACACCCACACAATGACACTTTCCACCAAAACACAGTACTTTATTTATTATTTCCTGTAACACATTTTAACTGTAGACAGCCTCTCTCAGGCGCCCTCACACCCACAGGCATAAACCAATACAATGGGTTTCTTAAGGGGATCAGCTGGTTGAGATAATGCCAAGAGTGTGCGAAGCTGTCATCAAGGCAAAGGGTGGCTACTTCGAAGAATCTCAAATATAAAATATATTTTGATTCGTTTAACACTTTTTTGGTTACTACATGATTCCATGTGTTATTTCATAGTTTTAATGTCTTCACTATTATTCTACAATGTAGAAAATAGTAAAAAATCAAGAAAAACCCTGGAATGAGTAGGTGTGTCCAAACTTTTGACTGGTACTGTATATGAACTGCAACTCAGTCAAATAGTTGCATGTTGCGTTTATATTTTTGTTCAGTGTAGCAGGGTGAGTCACAGTTCTAAACGCTGACATGTTTGGTCTGGACAAAATGCTCAGTGTTCATCAGACACAGATTAGTGTACACAGTGTTCACAAACCAGGAGCAATTGGCCCTAATTTGTCTCTGTGCAGTGCAGTGATACTGCTGATGGTCCAGTTCAGTAAGCAGGTCAGAGACCTTATTAGGATGTAGACAGGAGAGTATGCTGGAGTAGAGAACAGAACAGCCGTTAGCCAATAGGGCGTGGCCAGCAGAGAGGCTGAAGGGAAACCTGGCACACTGGGGGACTGTCCCAAATGGCACCCTATCCCCTATGTAGTGCTCAGGGCTCTGGTCAAAAGAAGTGCACTACATAGGGAATAGTGTCGGGGGTGACATTTGAGAAGCATCTTGGAGTGGAGAACAGTCGTTGACCAACAGGGCATGGCCAGGCTGAGAGGCTGAAGGGAGACCAGTGACCTGGCACAGTGAGGGACACTACCCTGGGGGTTATCTCAGAGGATAAATGTTAACGAGCACTTGGTCCAGTATGTGGGACGGTGTTTGTGCCAGCTTGCTTAACTACTCAACCCACATACTGTACAGCAGGGATCCTCAACTAGATTCAGCCGCGGGCCAATCTTTTCTTGAGCGGATGGTCAGTGGGCCGGAACATAATTACTAATCATTTGTAGACTGTAAATTGACCGCAAGAAGCCCAAACAGGTATAATATTTGACTTAAACAATAATTTCAAACCTTGATCACAAACCATCACCCGACAGTGTATTAGGTACTCCTACAGACTGTGAGTCAGTTCGCTGTGGCTTGCTATATAAAGCGGGCAGACAGACATCGATGCATTCACTTACTGTTCGATTGAATGTTAGAATGGGCAAAAGGAGTGACCTAAGCGACTTGGAGCGTGGTATGATCGTTGGTGCCAGTATCTCAAAAGCGGCTGCCCTCCTGGGCTTTTTTAAACCCCAGTGTCTAGGGTTTACCGAGAATGGTGCGACAAACAAAAAACATCCAGTCAGTGACAGTCCTGTGGTCGAAAACAGCTTGTTGATGAGAGAGGTCAAAGGAGAATGG